TGGGAGTCTGGAGTGGCTTTTTTCCCCCAAAACCAAAGCAGTGTCGCTGTGGTGGCCAGAGTAGAGGAGCATGAGCAGCCAGGGGTACCTCCTGGGGYAGGGTGTGAGTTGGTGGCTGCTCTCAGCTCCCTGGGAGAAGCCATTTGGGAGCGGCAGTAGCTCAGCCCTGCGGAACATGTCAGTTCCGGGCTGCGTGGAGGCTGCTGGCACCCAGCACCATTAGATGGTGATGTCTGTACATGCTCAGCCCAAGATTTCCACCCATGCAGCCTTCTGGGCTGCTTAGTGATCACCTCCCACATTGGACAGGGATATTTCCTCCACAGAGGTTTCCAGGGAGTGGGACACCCTGAAACGTGTCCCACAAGCACAACTTCTACAGCAACACTTCAGTCCAAGATTCTTTTTRCTGCTATTTTAATTCCTGGAAATGGTGTCTTTCCTTGGACCCCATCAACTCCTTTTGTAAACTATTTTCTGTTCATAAACCCCCAAAATTAGCAAAGCACTTCTGATGCAGCCAGAAGATTATTTAAGGAGTGTTTTGTCTGATTCACAACCCAGAACTGGGTTTTCTAGGTCTCTAGGGAATTTTCTGGAATGAACCACATCTCCCCACTCATCCTAGGGAAGCAGGTCAATGTTGGAGTGGTGAAGTCCCACCATTCTCAATGGAAATCCACTTCCCAGAACAGAAATACCAGGAGGCACAGAAGGACATGGCTGTGGATGGTTAGTATATAAGCATTTTGGGATAGTTCAGGAACTGGAGCATGAGCTGGACAGAGAACTTAAGAGAAGAAAGAGCTGGTATTAAAAACAAAAAGCCAAAATGCTGTATTTCCCATGGCACAAAATCACAGAATAATTCACGTTGCTGTATTTTGGGCTCCCATTCCTCAGACGTATTTGCTGAGAGAACTGGAATTGTTCATCCTGGAGAAAAGAAGCTCCGTGGTGACCCAGTTATGGCCCTTTCTGAGGGAAGCCTGCAAGCAAGATGGAGAGAGACTGTTTACAAGGGCCTGGAGTGACAGGACAAGGAGGAATGGCTTCACACTGCCAGAGGGCGGGGATGGATGGGATATTGGGAAGGAATTGTTCCCTGTGAAGGTGGGGAGGCCCTGGCACAGGGTGCCCAGAGAAGCTGTGGCTGCCCCTGGATCCCTGGCAGTGCCCAAGGCCAGGCTGGACAGGGCTTGGAGCACTCTGGGACAGTGGAAGGTGTCCCTGTCCATGGCAGGGGTGRAGTGAGATGATCTTGAAGGTCCCTTCCAACCCCAAACATTCTATGACTCTGTGATACCTCCCCACTGACTAACTCCACATGTCCCCATAGCCCTGGGAATATGGTTGWCATCTACAATGCAAATGCCAGCTATCCCCTTTGCCACCGAGGAGCTGCAGGGAGCCCAGGACACACCACATGAGGGGAGTGGATTCCCCTCCTTGCTCCTTGCTCATTGCTCCTACCTGGCCCCTCCTTCAGCAGCCCAGCTACAGGAGCATGGGGAGGTTGCTGGGTCTCTGCAGCTCTGTTTGGGTCATTTTGGCATGGGAAATGCCAYGCACGCAGCACAGCTCAAATTCTCTCATTTCTGCACTCCCCTGAATCTTGGGTTGAATTTTGCTTTGCATGACATGGCAGAGAAGCACAGTGTGAACTCAGTGTGCTCAGCAGTGCCATCCATCAGCGGGGCACAGGAGAAGGGGCTGTGTCTGTGCACTTGGTGGAGCATTGAAGGAGGTGATGGCTGATGAGTGGCCATGCAAAGGTAATTTAATCCTCCTTGGCCTTAGCATGCAACCGTGCTGGGGGGCAGGGAGTTTCATTGCATTATTTTGGCTACAGTTCTTCAGATCCTGAGATGGAAGAAGTGAGGGTGAAAGGCAAAGGAGTCACTATTATTATTATTATTATTATTATCATCATCATCATCATCATAAATAACAATAATAACAATAATAACAATAACAATAATAACAATAATAATAATAACAATAATAACAATAATAACAACAACAACAACAACAACAATAATAATAATAATAATAATAATAATAATAATAATAATAATAATAATAATAATAGTATAACAATAATAACCACCTCTTTTTGTCAAGTCTCTCTGTGCTGACTGGCAGCAGGCAGGGGAGATTTCCAACACTTTCTTGTTACAGAGGGCACAGCCATTGTGGATAATTTGGGCTCTGACATGGTCACAGAGGAGATTCACTTGACCCCAGAGCCATCACAGGTGTCAAGTCTGGCTTCTGTGGATGGAGTCTCTCCAGCTGCCCTTTTGCTGTCATTCCCAGAGCCTGAAATCTCTGTGGAGAGCTTGTCCCTGCTGCTGGCAACACACCCTGTTCCAYTCAAACATTGCCTGAGCCCTTCCCYAGGGCACAAAGGACCTCAACTCCRTCCTCAACTCCATCCTGAGCTCCGCAGCCAGCACAGTTCACCTCACCAGCAAGGAAAGCTGGAAGCCTTAGGACAGAGGAAGATAAGGTTAGGTATCTAAGGTCTTTTTCCTAGGAGGAAATCTAGAAATCTCTAGAAACCAACAGATTCGTTAAAAGCCTCCTCCATGCCTCTAGTGGTGCTTGTCAGATGACGAGGATGTGATGTTAACATGAGGCAACTGATTCCTCTAAAACACTGCAGTGGCTCCATTCACATGGGACAAAAATGGAAGCAAGTCTCTGGTGGTAAGGGACTGATGGCTCCTCCAGCAATAAAATCATCCTCCCCTGTCTTAGCAGGGTCTAGCACCTTATTTTTGTATCCTCAGGTGCCACAGAGGCATCACATTATSATGGGCATTCGTGCCCATGAATTTAGTCCAAATTCTCACTTTTTTTTTTCCAGTTTGTTCCAGATGCTCCTGGCTACAAAAGCAGAAGCCAAGCTCTTTTCTTACCAGATGGGACACAGAAGGAGTCGACCTTATCTTTACTGGCTAATGATAAACTAGGGGAGCTTTCCTCCCTGCCAGACACCCAACCAGCACTGCAAACAATGGGGATGGATCCCAMTGGCATAACTTGTCCAGATCTTCTCAGGGCTGCTGGGATCTCTGCTCCCTTTGAGCTCTGTGAAAGCAGGACAAGGCTCAGTCACAGCTCTGACCACCCTCCTCCTCTCCAGCCTTTAGGAAAAAATAGGCAGCTTTGATTACCAGAGAAATCCTCCTCCTCAAAGTATTTGGGAAATGGGTGGAGTTGGCCGCTCTGCCCCAGAGAATTGTTTCAGGTTATCAGGTGAGTGGGATAGAGAGGGGAGTGCCCCTCTCTGTCAGGGTATTTGTGCCTTATACAACAACATAGACAAAACACAGAGGCCCCAAGGTGAGATTTCTAGAAAAGCTTTCTGTCTGSTTGCACATCCAAAAGCATCTGCACAGCTGCCATCTGCTCTGCAAAGGCACTGCTGCAAGTGCCACCACRTGCATGTGACACCCCTGTGCAGTTTAAACCCCCCAGGACCAGGACCCTGCAGAGCTGAGGATGCAGTGGCTGGTGCTGAGTGGGGCTGGGCTGTTTCACAGGCGAATGTCGCCCTCTTTTGTCCTCTGGTTGCCACCCGTGAGAGCTCAGGGACCACACCAGCCAGTCTGGATGGATGGAGACTCCGTCAAGTRTGACAGAAAGAAGCCCCCCAAAACTTGGAAACTTGGAAAGAGATGGGTCACCCTGTGCCTCCCTTTGCATGCTGTGAACAAAATTCCAGAATCCCACAACAGTTTGTAAGGTGACCTTAAAGACCATCCAATCCCACCCCAGCCATGGACAGGGACACCTTCCACTGTCCCAGGGTGCTCCAAGCCCTGTCCAGCCTGGCCYTGGACACTSCCAGGGATCCAGGGGCASCCACAGCTKCTCTGGGCACCCTGTGCCAGGGCCTCCCCACCTTCACAGGGAACAATTCCTTCCCAATATCCCATCCATYCCCGCCCTCTGTCAGTGTGWAGCCATTYCTCCTTGTCCTRTCACTCCAGGCCCTTGTAAACAGTCTCTCTCCATCTTSCTTGCAGGCTTCCCTCAGAAAGGGCCACAACTGGGTCAMCACRGAGYTTCTTTTCTCCAGGCTGAACAATCCCAGTTCTCTCAGCCTTTCTTTGTACAAGAGGTGCTTTATCCTTCTGATCATCCTGGTGGCCTCCTCAACTTTGCTCCTTCCTCCATCTTTCCTCCTTTTTCCCAGAAGGCGGAATAAATAAYATCTAAAGAGRTGCCAAGAAGATGGAGCYGGGCTCTGCTCAGTGGTGCTGAACAATACAAGAGGCAATGGGCACAAACTAATGCCCTGGAAGCTCCACCTGAACATGAGGAAGACCTTCATCGTGCAGTGACCAAGCACTGGAACAGATTGCCCAGAGAGGGTGTGGAATTTTCACTGCTGGAGATACTCCAGAACTGTCTGGGCGCAGTCCTGGACAATCTGTTCAAATCCTTGAAATTTGAACCCATTATGCCTCGTTGTAACAGGACAGGGGGAAATGGGTTCAATTTGAAACAGAGCAGGTTTAGATAGGATACTGAATAGAAATTCTTCCTTGTGAGGATGGGGAGGCCCTAGCATGGGTTGCCCAAAGCTGTGGCTGCCCCATCCCTGGAAATGGTCCAAGGCAGGTTGGACGATCCACCTGGGGTTGTGGAAGATGTCCATGCCCATAGCAGGGGTGGCACTGGATGACCTTTAAGGTCGCTTCCCCACCCAAAGCGTTCTGGGATTCTCTGCCATATACTCTGGAATGACCCTGATGGAGCAGGGAGGCTGAAGTAGATGAACCCTGTGGTCCCTTCCAGCGTGTCCCGTTCGGGGAGTCCGTGAAACGCAGAATAAACTCCAGAAAAGCCCTTTCTCCAGAAAAGCCCTTTGTGGGACCCTTCCCCAGCACCGTCCAACGCCACCACCACACGGCACCACACCCTCACGTCACTTCCGCCCTCAGTCCTCCTTCGGGTCGGACCGCGCGGCCCCATTTCCGCTTCCGGCGACGCTCGAGCCCGTCATGGCGGCGCCCAGCGMGGCGCGGGAGCGGCGGCCCTTCGGGAGGCGCTTCCTTACCGACCCCGCGCGGCTCTTCCAGCACAACGCCTGGTGCGTGAGGGCGGCTGCCACTGTCCCCTCCGGACCCCCGGGAGCCTCTCGGGGCGCCGCTGCCCTCTGTTGCCGCCCCGCGCCTGGCGGTGGATCGGGGGGCCAGCGTGGGCTTTCCGTCGCCGCTGCGATTTGGGGTGTCTGGGCAGGTGCTGTGTGATGGGCCAGCCCAAACCTACCCGCTCCGCCTCACGGGTGACCGCGGTGACAGCCCTCCTCTCCGGGCTCGCCTCGAGAGACACCCCCAGGGAGCGGTGGGTGTAGGGTTGGCGGCCGGACAGCGACTGGAGGCCGGGGGGGGACCGCTATCCCTGGGCTGCGCACTGCCCTGTGCGGCCGGTGTGCTGATCAGCGAGAGTCCTCAGCCTTCGGGACTGATTTCTGCGGGGTCCTGAGTGCTCGGGACTGATTTCTGCAGGGTCCTGAGTGCTTGGGACTGATTTCTGCGGGGTCCTGAGTGCTCGGGACTGATTTCTGCGGGGTCCTGAGTGCTCGGGACTGATTTCTGCGGGGTCCTGAGTGCTCGGGACTGACCCACGGAGTTCCTGAGCCTTTGGGTCTGATTCGCAGGGGATTCTGAGAACTCGGGACTGATCCGTGGGGGTCCTGAGAGCTTGGGACTGATCCCTGCGGGATTCTGAGCCTTGAGGACTGATCACCCGGGGGCTSCTGAGCCTTGGGGACTGATCCCCAGCGTGTCCTGAGCCTTCAGGACTGATTGACAGAGTGCTGTTCTCAGCCCCTCCCGAAGCAGTAGGCATTCCTCAGGCTCCTGTGGTTGTAGCAATTGTTTTATTGCTGTGGTTAATAAAGGTTAATTAGCTGCTGTCAGAAATCCATAACCTGTCATTCCTTCCATGAGGTTGTGCCAGGTTGTGCTTGGAACAGGAGCTCTTTATTTGGATGCAGAAGTTGTTTTAAGTCAGTTAAGCATCCRTATTCTCTAATTTGCTGGTAGCTGAAGGTATTTTGCATTTTTGAGGTAAATAGATCTGCTTTTGCTCTTTGGCTGCTATATCTTGTTAAGAATTGGGTGTGTTTAACTTGTAATGAAGTAATATTTACATGTGTCAGCCTGTCATTCCTTTTGGGACTATTCTATAGCAAAGGTATGTTACAAAAGTATATCCTCAGTTTTCTTGTGGAAATTCTTAGTTACCTGTTTTTTCACAAATTTAACATTTAAGGCTTTGTTTTGTGAGTTAAAATCAAAAGACTAATTCCTTCTGAGATAAGAGCTGCTTCTTGGGCCTTGTATTCTGCTTTTCATTCACTTGTTTTAATGAAAAAAGGCCAAGTGGATCACTTTAATGACTGCATAGCTATTTATGTGCATTGAAGTTATTAATAGTTCTTAATGCTTTAAAGCTTCCTGCATATTTTTCTCASAATTTGATTTAACTTAACAGTTGCCTTCCAAATAATGCAGCTGCCATTATTGTTTTAACTTGAGAAAGACAATGTAGTTTTGTGCTGAGTGCCCTCATGGTTTTAGCTAGGATCTATTCCCTATAAATTTGGCTGAGGATCCAAAATGGATTTAGGATCCCTTCTGTTTRTAATTCCCTGAGTTCCTTCAGGATTAGGACCTGCATGTGCTGRCAGCTGTTGTGCTGGTGCTGGGCTGGAACTGGGAATCACACCTGCACCACTGTCTATTTGGAGGGCTCTCCAGACCTTTCTCTTTCCCTCTGTCTTTGTCCCACCATGCTTAGCTCTAATTAATCTTGTTTTTCACAACAGGGATAATGTGGAATGGTCAGAAGAGCAGGAAGCCAGTGCCAGGAGTAAAGTTCAAGAGAACAGCTCACAGCTATTGCCACAAGATAAACAAGGTACTTCTGGAGAGCATACTCATGTGAGTCTTGGCTTTGTCCCAGGAGTGGAGCAGTCTGGCAAGAGCCACATCAGAACATCATTAATTCCTCCCTTCCCCCTCTCCCACTCACTCAGAAGGCATTGATAATGGGAAATGGAGGAGGAGAAACCTGTCTGTTCTTAATTTACCGCTCTGTTACTCTTCCACCTCCTTCAGAGACTCCTCCTGGTTGGGAGGAGTCAGATCGGGTTGAGCTTCTTTGTCATGTTGTGTATGTTTAAATATTTGTTAGTGTTTGTTGTCAGAAAATCTCCTTGACTGTTAAGTTGTTGCCTCTGTTTTATTTTGCTCTCTAAAGCTTAACTGCTAGTAGCCAGTCACTTTTTGTTGGCTTGCTGTGGAGTGAGCCCTGATTCAAGCTGATTTTCTCTTGAAAGGGTCTGCTAAAGCAGTGTCCATATCTGGCTCYACAGAGTAGACAAACTGCATGAGAACAATTTCATCAGAGAAGGAAAAAAATATCTTGGCTGAAGTGTATATCATCAGATAGACAGCTAAGTGATTCCAAAGTTTTTATATTATTTGGCTTWAAGGATATTTATCAATCCAAAATGCAGAGCTTACCAGTCTCCAAATCAACTCTGTGGTTAAGTCATGGTTGAAGCCGTTCTGAGCTGCATTAATACTGCATTTCCTCCACACCTGGTAGAGATCATGCAGTTCCTCAAATGATGGTGAAATGGTTCTTGGTGTGATGAGAAACTTGTCTGATGATGATCTTGTTGTACCCTGCTGAGCTGTAGGGTGGATCTGCTCCTTTTGTTCAAATTAAATCRAGTGTGTCACCCATAAGAGGATGCYGAGCACTACTGGAGCTRTTGAGACCCTTTCATATAGCTCCCAGTTGTGTTCACAATAGCRAATTTAATTATAACAAAGAGTAACTCTCACAATTTCTTGGACTCCAGAAGTATCCAGCAGTTTTCCATCGGRATGCTTATTGTGTTGAGTTATTTTAAAATCTGGTTAGCATTAAAGGGTGCTGTCTCTCATGCTTTGAGAACCTGTATACCACTAGGAAATTGTGGAGCAATTTRCTGTTAGAGCAGTTTGTCAGGCTCCATGATGTATTTCCCTGACTGAACAATGGAGGCAAATCAAACGTTGATGGTTGCTATTTACTGGGAAGCATGTGGAGACAATGGGATGGCTGAAAAGTAGGGAAGGCAGCCCAGGCAAATCTGCCTGAAGGGTCTGGTAGTTTGAGAATCAGAATGTCCAAGGAGGAGAACAAAGGCAGCATATTGGTCATTATGTCTGTATTATTCTGTGGACTTCTTGGGGGTGTCAGGATTTGTTCTGTAGAAAGAGAGAAGCTTTTTGGTTATGTGGAAGATGAATCTCCTGGCTGGGAAGAGAAAGAAGTCCCAAGTTTCTTTGTTTCCTTTTGAGACTCCATAATTAGCCCCCTTGTAATTCAGGGGATCCCTTAATCTCTTACTGTCTTTGTGAACWGTTACTTTTGTTTGCCCTTCTTTTCCAGAGTGAAGGGGTGAGTATGGACTTGGCTCTGGGGGTGTGCTTGTGAAGGTGAACATAAAGTCAGAAATCCTTTTCAGGAAAAGTCTCTGGAGAAATCTGGCTTGCACACTAATGGCCATGTGAGGAAAAACCCCATAAAGGGGCTGAAACAAGTATGATGTGAACTTTTCTGGCTGGAAATCTTACTGAAAAATTAGCTGGTAATATTTTCACTTTAACTYTGTTTCTTGTATGATCTTTGTCAGCTGGCCCTTGATTTTTGTTGTATTTGTATTGTTACTGATCCTTTATTCAGGGCTTTGAAAACACCAGGCTCCGAGGTAAATGAGCTTTAAATAAACATTCCCCACATGTGGTTTGCAGTATAACAGCTCTTCAATAGCATCTAACAGAATTTCATGCTAATTTAACAAAGAAAGAGCACAATGTCTTGGTCAGTGGTGTAATGTGGCAAAAATGTGGGTAATCCAAAATGGCTRGGCTGAAATTTTGTCCCAGCATCTCAGATAAGCATTCCACTGCAGTCAGGCTGTTGTGGGATTGTTGGAGACAACAGGAATCAGGATTTGGTAGTTTTGTTAGGTGAAAAAGCGTTTCAGCCCCAGAAAGCTTGCATGTTCCTGCTAGTACATGGGAGAATGACAGTTTGGGACAGAGAGTACCAGGGTTTGCAGCAATAACCATTCTTCCAGCATCAGCAGTCAGTAAATTCTTCCATGAAAATAGCAAACTAACCTGGCTCTGCTCACTGTGACCTACAGTGAGATTGGCACAAAGTAACTGCTCATGTCTAATATCAAACATTAAAGCTTCCTGCAGCCTCGGGTTTAAGGACAAGGCATCTTAAAAGGAGAAAACCCTTGTAGTTGAGGTAAAGAGATTACTTTTATATATAGCTCTTTGTGCTTCAGGGATACAGCCTACTAAAAATAGACATGACTGATTTGTGCTTCTTTGTTCAAGCCTTTTTTTACTGTATGTTTGGCTGAGACTACATATTTTTCCAGGTGGTCTGGGTTCATTTTACTRTCTCACTTCGAAACAGTTTTGTGCTCTTCGAGAAGACTAATAAATAGTTCAGCTAATAATGATCTCAAGTCATTTTCATTCAATAATGCACTTTGCTGTGCAAAGATGGTTGAGGAATTGCTTGTTATTGGAATGCARTTGGGATCTCTGGCCATGGCTGTTAATGTTTCTAGGTGATTCCAAGCATAGGATGCTATAATTAGGTCTTAGCTCCCAGGACAGAGAACTCATCACATTGATGAAATCATAGAAAGTCATTTGGATTTTAGCTTCCCATGGAAGAAATAGTTCCCCTAGACTATACTTCATCTGAAATCTGTGAAAGTGTGTGGAAATAAGTTTGCAGGTGGCTCAAATTCCACTAGATCATGTATTTGCAAAGAGCTATTTCAGCTCCCTGTAATACTCATCTTGCTGTTGGAACGACATATTTGATGTGAAAGTGCTGCTGCTCAAATTAATTCTGTTCATCTTTACCTGTTCACCTTGGCTCTCCACTGGTGCTTTTATGCAGTGGTCACTTCTGTTGATTACCCTTTTTTGTTTTAGTTCATAAATGTGTGATGCTCTGACACAGAACTATGGAAAGCAAAGTGCTYTGGTCTGGACTGCAGCAAAGCATGAAAAAAGTGCTGTCCTATGATCTGGTGGATTTTATAAATGCTAACTGAGCTTCTTGCCAGGTCTGGAGAGTTGACTCATTTTTCTGTTTCTCCACCTGAAAACAGGAGCAGTGTGTTGGACAGGAGCTTTCAGCTCCAGGCAGCTCTCACAAAATTCCTTACGAGTTGTGCTTGACACTTAATGTCACTAAGGCTCCAAATTAATTGTCCCAGTGAACTGAGCAAATTAGTGTTGAAGATGAAAGTAAACCTGGATTTCTTCATTCCAGTATCCTTCAGAGACTTTTTCTGTTGCCAGTGTCCACTAAATCCTACCAGGAGACAGAATTTCCTCTTCTCTCTTTTTTCCCTTTTTGAGTCCTAACAAAGTGACTGTGAGGACATAGGCTGAATGTTTATGTGGGATTGTAAATTTAAATAAAGGTAATTTTTAGTCAATAATCTCACTTAYTAAAGCAGGTTGGTGCATAGATTTCTGGAGTGACCCCTCTCTAAACTGATTAAACATTGAGATCTTCTGATTTGATGTCTGGTGATGTTTTTGCTTGTGTTCACAGAGGAATATGAGGTGAATGCTCAGAAATACTGGGATGACTTCTATAAAATCCACGAAAATGGCTTTTTCAAGGACAGGCACTGGCTGTTCACTGAATTTCCTGAGCTGGCACCTGACAGAAACTCAAGCCTAAATGGAGATTCTGTGCATGAATTYAGTAACACAGAAAAATCCAACAATGAAGGGCTGAGAAGCTGTGAAAATTGCCATTGTTCATTGAAAACCAGGATAGAGAGTCAGTTAAACCTGATAAAAAGCCCACCTGGGGACTGCACAGAGGAGTTGGCTGCCCAGGACCCTGAGCTGAGCCAGAGTGATGGGGATTACCCAGGATCAGCTGCATCTTACCGTATATTAGAGGTAAGAGCTGTAAATCAGAGTTACACATCAAAGCCTCCCTTGTGTCAGTGTGATTGGGACATAAAAATATCTATCACTGCCAAACAGCAAGGGAGTGCATGATTGCCTTCAGTCAGTAAAATGCAAAAATCAGAGGGCAGCTTAGAACTGAACTAAATCTGTTGGGATTCTTTTGTTTCAGACTGAATTGACAGAGCACAAGGACCATAAGAAGTTTACAAGTTTAAAAGCCAAACTATTGCTATCAGATGTTCAACAAGCATTTAAAAGTAATCTTTTGAAGCAGCTGATTCTTCTGCTCATCTGTATAAAGCTTTCCCTTGTCGTTTATCTTTGCCGTGTTTGTGCTGACTCCTGATTGCCTTGAGAGGTGTGAAACAAAGCAATGAAGCCAAGAATGTAACTATGTTCTTGGGCTTGTTCATTAGGGCTCGTGTGATAATAGGGAATCCCAGATTGATASAGGCTTTGTCCCAGAGAAGTCTGTGGCAATTATAAACATTGGAATCTTGACAGCTGGTTGTGACATTTTGCTCTGCCATTTCTAATTTTTCACTGTAGGTATTACTGAATTTGTTTAATACTTTGTATTTTATTAAAGTTCTGCCCTTCCAGGGACAGTTAGTATGAACTGTCCTTCTGAWTTTTTTATTTATTCTGGCACTTTAAGATTTCCTCAGATTGATGTTCTCAATGTGCTTTTCCTGTCTCACCTGAGCACTTTCAGTAACATCTGTCATTGCAAACCCTCTGTGGTGTTTTCTGCTCAGTCTGTTTCAATTTTACTGACTCCTTAAATATTCAGAGGCAAAATCCCAAAACSCAGTTGTGTGAGCCATCATCTCTTCAAGAAATGTACATGGAACAAGTAGAGGGAATAATTAGAGTAAAGCAAACTTAAYTTCTCTGTTGCTCTGATTTTCTGTGGAAGTGAATGTAACTTACCCACTGCCTTTGCCAGTGCTTCAGTGACTCATACTGGTTGTTATGCTTGGGATTCCAGCAAAGACAGCTTTCAAAAGGGTAAAACTATATAGCTTGTTAGTAGGATTTCAACAGGAACTTGGTTAGTGGTTTCTCACACGTGTAATCCTGTTCCTCAGAGCTTAAMGTGCTCAGACCTTACAGGGACACTTAGGAATGGTCACTGCCATACTCAGCTTTTACTCATGAGTTGCTCTCCATTCCATGGTTGTAGAGAGATGATTGAAAATTATCTGAATAGATGTGCTGAAGAAATTATTTTCACTGTGTGCATCTGCTCTCTTTATGCAGGTTGGCTGTGGGGCTGGGAATACAGTCTTCCCAATATTACAAACCAACAAGTAAGTAGTGACAAGACAAGAGGAAATGGCTTCCCACTGCCAGAAGGGAGGGATAAATGAGATACTGGGAAGGAATTGTTTCCTGTGAGGGGGGGCTGTTCCCTGGCACAGGTTGCCCAGAGAAACTGTGGCTGCCCCATCCCCAGAAGTGTCCAAAGCCAAGCTGGACAGGGCTTGGAGCACTCTGGACTAGTGCAAGGTGTCCCTGCCCATGGCAGGAGGGTGGGACTGCATGGATCTTTAAGGTCCCTCCCAACCCAAACCATTCTGGGATTCTGTGAAGTAATTCTTAGYAGGTTTTTACCTGCATGAAGTACTTCTGAAAAAATGGAAAAAAACGTTCCATGTGTTCCTAATTTAGAGAATCTCAGAGAAAGACCAAGTGCAAATGGTATCTTTGCCATCTGCAACKTCAGATTATTGTGTTTTGAGCTTGGAAGCCGTTGGTTTTAGATCCAGAAAGAAACGGCAGCAGTCAGTTCCATGGGAGAATAGTGGGCATAAAGGAGCAATGGAATCCACCAGATCCAACCKCACAGAAACTAAAGCTGAGGATTTCTGGGCTTTGTGCATTTGAAATACTCCTTATTCCTCAATGTAAATGATGAGTTTCTTTCATTTATTGCAGTGAYCCAGGCCTGTTTGTTTATTGCTGTGATTTTTCTACAACAGCTGTGGATCTTGTCCAGGTAATCTCAACAGTGACTTACGAAAATGTGGGAAGTATGTGGAGCCAATTGCCCGTTAACACAAATCTAATTCAACTGCCAATGACTCTCTAGCTGTGCTGGCAGCTTTCTAGTTTTAGCCAGCCCTRGTGCTGACCCTTGCACCTGGAAATSTGGAAAACGAGCCATCGAAGATTGTAGAAATTAGGGAAGTAAAAATTCTCTAAATGTCACATTGGCAGCTAACAAGTCAGCCACATTTTCTTCCCCTGTGGTTGGCARTACTTTTCTCAATACAGTGTTCTTTTAGCTGAGTAACTGCTGAACCTTGAAAACATTCAGGCTATTTTTTTAACGGGAACTGAAGTTGGTTTTGGTTTGTGTGTGTGTTACTGTCGCCACACTTCTGGGAACATGGTCTGCTTCTGCACAGGCAGCTGAGGAGGGTTCCTGTTTGTAGAACAGGACGCTGGGATTTAGTCAAAGGACAAATACCACTAATAAATTTCAGATCAAGGCAGAACTGAGAATAATGAAGTATCAAATGCAATCAGTCACTTCCTGAGATGAGAGGGGAGCACAGCACCAGAGTCAGCATCCATTTCCTCCTCTGGATTTTACCCAARCACTGTTTGTAGAGGCTTCTGCAATCTGTAGCAACAGCTTTAGATAAATACACAACTTCTAAAAAAAGTCTAAATCTTAATTTTTAAGAGTGTAACTTTAGACAGCTAAGTTTGATTTTTGGGATATAGGGAATGTCTGTAGGTGAAATGAATATTGATTTCGATGATTCAGAGAGGTGCCCTGRCACTCTCACTTACAGTATAAATCTTTCTCTTCTTACCACTATTAGTGGAAAATCTGACCTTAAAAGTGCGATAAACCCTGAATCCAGTTTGGAGTTTTTTCAGTGCTGATTGTCAGATTGTAACAAGACCAAAGTTCTTTGTAAATCGCTTGTGTGTAAATGTTTTTTTCATATTTTACTCCTGTTCCATGCCTGAYCAAAGACCATACCTGACACAGAAGTACAGTGAGGCTGAAACAGATCTCTGGACTCACCAGTTGATTATATGAAAGTTAAAACATTCCACATAATAATAGTAATCCRTATATTCCAGAAAATGCTAAGATCAGGGTCTGCTACTAATTTTCTTACTTTYTCTCCCTCAAATACAGAACAATGCAGAATATGATTCTTCTCGCTGCTTTGCATTTGTCCATGACTTGTGCAATGACCAAAGTCCTTTCCCGATGCCAGAGGAGAGTCTTGACATTGTTATTCTTATCTTTGTCCTCTCAGCAATTCTCCCAGAGAAGTAAGTTTTAACAATTCCTTCTGATTGCAGAAAATAATTCTTCTACAAGCAGAGTTCTTTAACAGTCTCMTTTCGAGGAAAATTAAGGTTTGTTCTGTTTGTGGTCCAGTTTTCCATGAAGCCTCAGAAAATGAAATTTGCAGGTATATACTATTGTAACAAATTCTGGCAGAGGACAGGGTGATTTTGAAGTACTAAGTGGCTGCAGGTGATCATTGCTGGGGTCACTGTTCTGAGCCCCAGCCACACTGAGGACTCAGCACCACTTTGGAAAGTATTCTGCTGGATTTTCAGGCTCAAAGGTTAGATGAATTTCTGACATGGGAGGTGGCAAGAAGGGAGGGCTCGGGTTCAGAAAAGAARTAAGGAAAGTTCTGTGGTCTTAGTGTGATAATTGTTGCAACCTACACTAGACTCTTTTTTTGCTCCCTGTTTTATTTCACAACTCTTCAAAATCATTTATTACTTATTTTATGGAAGCCAGTGGAGATCCTTTTGTAATCAATAGGAGAGAGCAGTTAATCCCTACGGGGGCAGGATATTATCCTTCTAGGGAAAAAAGCAAAACTGGGGAGTGTCAGAAATAAAKATGCCAAATAAAATCAGCCCACCTAACTCTGGGAGAGCTCAGAATGCTGSTGGCTTTGGGTAGCTCTTTATATGAAGTCAAAACATGTACAGTTTTATCCCATCTCTTTGGAAGGAAACAAGTATGATTTTGCAGCATGTTGAAACAGTCCTGGTTTGTTCTTCTCTCAGGATGCAGCACATCGTGACCAGACTGAGTCGCCTGCTGAAACCAGGGGGAATGATCTTGTTACGAGATTACGGACGTTACGATCTCGCCCAGCTTCGGTTTAAGAAAGGTATTTCCTTTCCCCCTGGGAACTTGCYACATCACTAGTAGATTCTGTTTTTCTGGAGCTGTGTCTGCTCTGTTTGGAGGCAGTTCATTAATTCCTCAAAGCACAGTGTGTGCCAGAGAAGGGTCTGTTGTTAGATGGCAATTATTGATTTTTAATGTATCGCTGGTAACTGTTTATATTCTTCTTGCCCTTAGGTCAATGTCTGTCTGATAACTTTTATGTGAGAGGTGATGGCACCAGGGTCTACTTCTTCACACAAGGTAGGAGGCCAGAAACTGTCTCTGACTCTYCTTACCACTTCTTGTCCCTGTGCCCTCCATTTTGCCACTAGATCTTTCCAGCCTCTTTCTTGGAACACTGTGAAATCTTAMGGATCTCCCAATTAAACAGTGACCTCGGCTTGTTAGCTCCTGGTGTAAGCATGTCATGGTGAATTCCTTAGTGGAAAATCCTTTAAGAGAAAGACTGCTGTGTTTGCTACCCTGCTAGGGATGGGATTGGAGGAGCTCTCCTTGTATCTTGCCTGCAGATGATGGAGGGGGATGGATACCACTTAGGAGAAGTTCCCTTAATTTTCCTGCTCTCCTATGAGGAAATCAGAAGAGTGTGGTTCAGCACAGAGCTAAGGCAGCCCCTCCAGTTCTGCTGCTGCTTGGTATTAGAAGCAGTTGTTATTCTCTCAGTTTATCACSAGTTGCACCTCCAGTCCCTCCACTACAGCCCCTGTGCACAGCTCTAAAGCAGTGGCGTAACTGAACTGTTCCTCACTGCACGAGTCTTGTTTGTCACAACAAAATTAATGTTTAATGTGTATTTGGCAAAYACCTCACAATGGAAAGCATCTGATAAAGTAGCACAAGCTGGGACCTGTCAGGCTTTTCCTACAGAAACTACAGACAAACCACATGCTCTGGGAGTAAGCTCTGCTGCTTAGCAGGACTYGAGCTGGCTTTGCCCACAGCCAGTGTGCTGGGGCACTGTCAGACTTATTTGCTTGGTCAGGAATACCTGCTAATGGAAGTTTTGAAGCTTCAAGGGCTCTTAGCACTTTAATTGGGCCCCAACAGGGTGTGGGTTTTAAGGATTTTTTTTTTCCRAAATTTAACCATAATGAATCCCATTCCCCTCCAGCCTAGGCAGCACAGATCTTACTGCCACCATTTAAAAACATAGGTCTGATCCTGTTCTTTACTCTTGCAGACTCTGAATTTCCTCTGGGCAGGGAGGGGGGAAGGAATGACTCTGTCTTTACTTGCCAGAAGATGCTCCTTAATCAGTTACTAGAGGCAGTACCCATGTCTGAAACTGCTGCTGTTTTCTTTGTCAAGGCTCTGTAGCTCTAAATGTACTCCAAATAATTATTTCCTTCTTTGCTAAAAGGGAAACTTGACAAACTGTGGTGTTAAACTCCCCTAGTAAAGTAGTTAAGTCTTGTTTGATCATTTCCCTGCCAGGATGAGGCTATGGATATCCTTTGGCCCATGTTTCAGCTTATTTTAGCCCTCATTGTGAGCATGTATCAGTTAAAGAAAAGCTATGGCCTCCTCAGTCTCCTTCTCTCTGCTTCCAGATGAGTTAGATCACCTCTTCACCACAGCTGGGCTGGAGAAAATCCAGAATTTGGTTGATCGGCGATTGCAAGTGAACCGTGGGAAGCAGATGACGATGTATCGGGTGTGGATCCAGTGCAAGTACTGCAAGCCTGCTGCCCCTCAGCCATGAGGCATGTGGGCTTTGGGCTAGAGCTTCTTCATGTCTCCTCCTGGTGCTGTGTGTGATGAGTTCGGCACACCCAGCACCTCAGTGCCTTGTACGGTGCCTGGCATCACTTCAAGTGAGTTTGGCTAAGGACGAATGTCCTGAGAGTAGAGCAAGCAGTATTTAGATGTCATAAAATCACAGAATATACCRAGTTGGGAAGGACCATCAGGATCATCAAGTCCAATTCCTGACCCTGCAGAGGATATCCCARCACCCACCCCGTGCCTGAGAGCATTGTCCAAGTACTCCTTGAGTTCTGGCAGCCTTGGGGCCATGACCATTCCCTGGGGAGCCTGTTCTATGCCCCAGCATCCTCTGYGGGAAGAACCTTTTCCTGATATCCAGCCTAAACCTTCCCTGACACAGCTCCAGCCATTTTCTCAATTCCTGTCCCTGRTCAGGAGAGTGAMGAGATTGGTTCCTGCCCCTCTGCAGTCCCTCAGGAGGATGTTGAAGATCCCAATGAGGTCTGACCTCAGTCTCCTCCAGTTGAACAGACCAAGTGCTCTCAACTGCTGCTCATACGGYTTCCCCTCAAGGTTCTTCASCATCGTGGCCCTTCTCTGGATGCTCTCTAGTGGCTTAATGTCTGTTTTATATTGTGGTGCCCAAAACTGCCCCACAGCACTTGAGGCGAGACTGCTCCAGTGCAGAGCAGGACAATCCCCTCCCTGACCAGGGATGCTTTGCCTAATGCCCCCAGGATACAGATGTCCTTCCTGGCTGCCAGGGCACTGCTAACCTATATTCAATTTGCTGTGGACCAGGACTCCCAAGTTCCTTTCTGCAGCTGCTCTCCAACTTCTTCATTACCCAGTCCATCCACACATCAATGGTTGCCCCTTCCCAGGTGCAGAATCCAGCACTTGCCCTTGTTGAASTTAACACAGTTGGTGATTGCCCGTTTCTCTGTTGTGTCAAGGTCTCTCTGCAGGCCCTCTTTGCCTATGAGAGACTCAACAGCTCCTCCCAGTTCAGTGCAGTCAGCAAACGTACCYAGTATTCCTTCAAGTTCTGCATCCAGRTCATTAATGTGGATGTTGAAGACCACAGGGTTGAGGATGGAGCCCTGTAAATGTCATGGTACTGGTCTGAGTTTTAAATATCATTGATGGTTTTAATGTGAGAGATGGTCATGTTGTCTTACAGCATCTGAGCAAGTTGAGTAGTGACTTGCTTGTACTCTGGAGCATGAAACGGGAGAGCTCCAGCCTTATCTCCGTCTTGTGTACTCTTGTCTTGGGAACAAACACACAAAGGATAAATCTGCTCTTGTCTGCAACTGCTCTCTGATATGAATCCCTTGGCCAGCTTATCTCATGCAGTTGTTTCCTAGTCATTCAGGTGTGTGCCAATCCATGAGTTTAAATACATTGATCTGAGGGCAGGAACTGAGACCGTGTGAGTCCCTCTGTACCAGCTTTCCCTGGATGCCTCTAAGTGTAGTGATAACCTGTGGAGAAAGCAAATGGTGCTGCCCTACCCTCACTATCCACAGGGATGTCCACCCAGGGAACCAGCACGCAATAGCTCAGGTGCTATAAATTCCTCTCAGGCAGGGTTCAGGTTTTTGAAAGTTTGGCACTGATGCTGGTTTTGGGGCACCTCCAGAGTGCAGCAGAGCAGAAGCAGCTCACAGAACCAGAGTTTATAAATAATTACCTGCTTTTTCTACTGGCTGCAGACCCTGGGTCACAAACTACCCTGTCATGGTGATGTGCTAAACCCGAGCAGATRAGACACCTTCTTTGATCTGAAATCTGCCGGATGTTTAATTTCTTAGAGGAAGCCAACCCTGTGGCTTTCAGAAGGTATTTCCCCACCTTTRACAGCAAATAGCTTTTATCTCAGCTTGTTTTCTTCTGTTATTTTTAGGGTGTGGTACAACAGGTATTAGAATAAATTTTGTGCTTTTCAGTGATGGTTTGATTCATATAAATCAGGCTTGCARGAACCTCACATGGTTGTGAGAGCCTGGGACGCCGTTAGGGAGCTACAGTTTCCTTTTGTTATGAGTCTCACTAGTGCCTGCTCTTGTATTTGAAGAAGAGAAAGCCTTGGCTGGTATCTCTTACCCTGTTTTAGTTCATGAAGCAACAAGATGTGTTGTGTGCATACTGCTGGCTGAAGAGCAGTTCCTGTGTATTTTGTTAGCCAGACACTCCTGATTTGGAGCTTGATATTGCCTAAGAGTAACTGTCACCTCTAGAGCCACACAGGTTATGAAATAACTGCTATCTTGAACTAGAGGAGAGGGGATAAAAAGCTGAGGGAATGTCATTGCTGTTTTTGGAGAGCCTACAGGAGCCCTGGAGAGATGGACCAGGAACACCCTGATTTGGGAAGTGTTGGGAGGGACTGGGCTGTAGTTCCTGCRAGGCATGTGGCAGCATGAGGAGTTCCTAACTTCCACATCGCTGTGTCATCCTGCAGGCATTACTTTGTCTGCTACCTGAAAGCTTCTGGGTCGGGACATTGCATTCCTCTCTGGGAAAGGTAACCCAGGGAATCCGTTCACATGCCACAGGATGTAATGCTGGAGCAACGGAAATGCACCACTGCTTTTTTGTATATCTGCCTCTTTTAAATAATGTTGAATCAAATGCAATTTTTTTTTGGAGGGCAATGGGAGTCAACTAACTKGGAAGAGAATTCTTGTTCAGTTTGTTGTTTATTTTCTAAAAGRCCAAGAACCTTCAAATCTGCAAATKAAACAGGAGAYAWGTTGTGCTTCTCTCTTCTGAAGCACAACTGGCTTCTGCTGAGCACAAGCCTGACCCACCCCAGAAGCTCTGCAGTTGCTGCTATGTTTTCATGCTAAACCTACAAGTCTGGTTCCCTAGCAAGGCTGAGGCCTCAGGCAAGGTCTAGGCRAAACACAGCTCAAGGCCTCTGGCAGCAGGTGAGCAAGCTCAACTCTCCTCAGCTTATGCAGGCACAGTGTCAGGCTTAGCAAGAGCCCTGTGAGTGTTGGACCTGATGTGACTCATGTAACCAGCCCAGTCACAGACCTTCTGTGTGTTATTGGGACCTCGGTCACTTCTCTGGGGTCTTCTCCCTCTTAGTTCCTGGAGGAAGATCTCTTTCTAGGATAGCTTTATCTCCCTGCAAGAAAAGTTATTGACTGGAGTAAACAATTAGCATAATTAGTGTGAATTAAAGTAATTTGGGAAATGCCTTATTCATCATCCAAAGGCTTGTAAGCAATGCATGAAAATACATTTTTAATTATAAACAAGATTTATGTAAAGTTAATGGACCCATATTTAAATTCAAACTCCTGAATGGGAGAAAATGAAGGCTATTAATTTATTTGTTTCTACTTTCAAGGCTATATCCCAGTTGCCTGGTTTTAACTTGGGCTTCATGCAAAAACTTGCAGCCCTGTAAGCCTGGAGCCATTGAAGTAGCTCCTTTCCTTTCTTAATGCTCTTAGTTCTGCTGGAGTATTTAAACAGCCACTCAGCAGGGCCCATGCTGGGCAGACATGCTTTTGTTTCCAGTCYTCTTGATGGTGTTCAGAAGGCAAGAAGTTAATGGCCTTGAATTGAGCCAGGCCTCCTACAGATACTGTTTGAGCTTCCTTCACTAATCCCTGCCAGCTCCTGTTCTCTCAGAAGCTGCTACTCTCCTGCCACTCCAGGCCTTGCTTCCCATGCAGCTTTGCTCAGGTGCCTCAGTCCTGATTTGCAACAGCTCCTGCCATTCCCATTTTGGGCCTGCTGAGCACGCTGTGTTGTACAAGCTTTCCAGCACGTTCAAAGGAAATCTCCGAACTGACTTTCACCATGCTGAAAAGCCAGGTTAAGTGCCTTCAGTGTTTTGGGGGTTTTTTTCCTTCTTCCTTCTCAGCAGAGTAACATTAGCTTTAAAGTCTTTCTGAGCATTTCTCCTCTGGTTTTGTTCCCAGCATTCCAAGTCTTGTGGTCTGTGGTTTACAGGCAATGCCAGCATGGCCTGACAAACCTCCCAAGCAGAAGAGATGATTTCATAGCTCTTCACAGGCGCTGCTCCGGCAATCCTGGAGCCAGGCATTGTTACACTTGGGAAAATCTGGTCCTGGCTSTTGCCAGAGGATGGTGGATTTCCTTGGAGATTCATTGATTGTTTTGGCTGGAAGGGAAATTTATTGTCACCTATTGTGACCCCACACATACCCTTTCATGTGGGGATAATGCCATCAAGCCTATGACTTSGATTTGGACTTGGAACTAGTCCTTCAGAAAGGATTTTGATCCAGCCATGGTGCTGAGGCCTCCAGGCATTCCTGATTTCACAGACAGGCTATGAATTGGGAGACAGGAGGGAACAGGGGAGGTGATSTGAACAAGGGGCTGGGGGGTGTTTCTGATGCCCTCACTTCAAAATAAGTAAATTGTAAATTCCACTGCAAACTGGAGCTTTCACAGGATCTTCCTAACAGTGCAGCAAAGTGAGAACAGCAGTCATACCAAGTGATTTGGATTGTTACAACAATCATCARATTCTTCTGACAAGGGGCATGTGAGATCAGACACAATTATCTTCTCCCCCAAATAATTCAGCTCCACCTTCTCTKGGTATGCTGCCACCATTTCTAATCTGCAGTGAGTTCTAGAGAGATAAATGATTATTTGTCTGATTATCTGATTATTTTCAAYAGAAGAGAGGTGTGAGCAGAGGGAACCTCCCTGTGCACGCATTAACAGCTTTTGGTACTGCATTGTAATAAAAGCTGGAAGATCTTCTTTCTGTCGTTGATGTTGGGATGAGCCCTGGCTTGTCTGYTTGGATTCCCTACAGGAATTGCAGACCCAAACTGAACACTAATGAAAGATGCACAGGTTTTAGTGCCTAGAAGTGAGGATGGGGCTACAAGGATCAAGTTATTACAGGATCTCAGGACCATCCTTCCATCTCTGTAAACACAGGTGGAGGGAAACTGAATCATGCAGTCTTTGCTCTGATTAGTCAGCAAGATCTGATTTGTCAGAGAAGTGAATGCCACCATTTTTTGTTTGGTGCTGTATTGGGGAAAAATGTCCGCGAAGGAGGATGCCACAATCAGGATAATTTTTGCTGTTGTAGCTTACTCTGCCTTGATGAGGATGCCTGGCACACATCCTTCTGTATAATGTCCCTAGACACTGACTTCAACAGAAGTTCTGATTTTAACTGTGTTTCAGGGAAAGATAGAAATTACTAGAAAAACAAGGATTAGGAGGAATTTTTCAAAGGCCTCTCCTGCTAAGTGAGGTGCTCTGGAGGAAAAGGAGTTGTCAGCTCAGAGCTTAATCAGCAAAGCTCTGGGGTTCATGCTTTTAGCTCTTGCTGAAGGCATTAAGTTCCTGTGTGTCACTGCCTGGCTGAATGAGAGCTTGTATTGCTTAAAAAGTGGGACACACTGCRGGAAATTACCTTTGTAGGCAGCCCTGAGTGCTAATCTGAACTAAATAGGATACAACCACCTTTGTTAGGTGAGCATGAACAGGGCCTGGACACTTGGCTGGAACACTGGCAGGGRAAGGCAAGGGAATCTGAGCTATGTGTGCCTCTGCTTTTTCCTCCTGCCCAGGGGTTGTGTGGTATGGCAGTTCTCATGCTGGTGAAGGCTTTTGTTCTTAGTATTTGACCCWCAGTGGGATGTGGCTGCTGTTGGAAAGCAGTGATGGCAAAGCTCACTGGCAAGTTTTACATGTTAGCACCTGCCAGCAGCTCCCAGCCTGTTGGTCCATGGCTGTTTCCAGGAAAGAAAAAACTCTTGRTGAGATTTAGAYCTTGCTGTCCTACACTGTGCTCTSTGGTRTAAACCTCAAAGAGCTCTCCCTGCAAGCACCGATACAGTGTGGGAACAGCAGCTTGATTTTTGGGTGTAGTATGACTGCTGTATTCAGGTTGTCTTTGCTGTCCAAAGGATCCTTGTAGCTCTTGCAATTTCATGTTATGTGGAAGTTTGGGAGTTTTGGGAGATTGCAGCCAAAATTTTGCAATATGAAACTTGCTTTCAGCTCCTGTGAAGTGGGAAGCTGCTGTTGGCAGTCCCTGGTCACAGGGGCCAGACTCACACCTCTGTGATGTGTGTGGAACAGGGGCGATGTGCTCAGGTGTAAGGAGCACCCTTTCCCAGGGTTACTGGGTGTGGCTTTCCTCATTTGGAGATTAAATTGCCTGATCTTCATCCAGACTGCTTCTTCATCTCTGGGACCAGGYTCAAGGCATGCTGCATATCCCCCTCACCCGGGGAGCTGTACCTGGGCAGGGCCACCTCCCTGCAGTCTGCAATTACACAGCTGTGTGGCTTTTTTTCACATTCAGTGCCATTGATGGATGTGAAGAGGTCAATGGAAGTTGCACAGAAAACTAAAATCTGGCTTTTCCACAATTTCAAGTGACTTCTTCCCTACTCAGATGAGTCTCGGTAGGAAGGCTGGAATATATTTACAGACATTCACTAAGAGGCTGAATGTACTTAGAGAAATGTGTGTGCAGTAACTCTGGCTTTACAATAGGATGTTGATTTAATTTTCCTCTTACACAAATCTCGGAGCACTTTGTCTAATTAAGGCTTTCCAAAGTCTTATAAGGTAGGGTGTTATTATGCCCATTTTATGCAGGAGAAAGAGAAGCAGGAGGCAAGCCCTGATGAGAGGGAAATCCTCTTGTATTCTGGGAAGCCCAGAGTTAGTGAGCACAGGGGAGGACTTGCCAGCTAGAATCACATTGTTTCAGGTGCTTGCAGAACCAGCTGTGTTTCCAGTACCGTATGCTTTGGGAACACCTTTCCTACCTGCAAGGTTTGGTTCCCCTGGCCTGGGCCATGGCAGCTGTGCAATTCCAGGTGACTGCACGTTTGCAGGTGCCTGCACACAGCTTCCTGCCTTCCTCCTCCTGCAGCAGGACACACGTTGCCTTGGATCAGGGCTCTGAGGATGCGCTTGGCTTGCTGTTTGTGTGGAGGCTGAGTGACCTGGATGCTTTCCTACTAGGTTTGAGTATCAAAGCCGCCCTAATGGGATACCTGAAGGTGTAGACAGTGGGAGGGGCAGGAACAACCTCCGAGATAAACTCCATTGTGTGGGAGGGTARAGGCTCTCCGAATGGCCTCAGGAAGGAGTCAGGCAATGGCATGTTATCTTGGAGGAGCTCAAATACCGATTTTCTCAGTAAGGAAAATGAGGAAAGACACTTAATGTTCCTAGTGTGGCAGAAGCCACACAAGGGTAACATGTTTTGAATACCCCAAGCCTAGAAAAATCTTTGCTGGCTGCTCATGCCTCATTAGGTCTAAGAGAATCTGCTGTGCAGACAAGGATTGGCCTTCTTCAGGATGTGATGCCTGGAGGTGACATCATCCCCTGGTGCTAAAAGCTTAAAAAGCCTGTTGAGTGTTAAACTCTTGTGGTTTTTGGTTGGGTTTTTTTTTTTCCCCAGTGCTATACTATGTTTGGATTTGAGATCACTGATGTCAGCTTTTACCTTTTAAAGGATCAGGCTATTTGTTGTTTTTCTCCTGTCTCCAGCTGCCTGTGTCACTGAGGAATCTCAGCTCTTCTTTTGTGTGCCTTATATCAGTAGATTTCCAGACCTTGTAGCAGTTCAGAAATGCTTGGAAAAATGGAGTTAGAGTATTCCACAAGCCTGGAAAACACAGGCAAAGAAAAATCACCAAAACCACAAAATCCTTAAAAATATCAGGATCTTGACTTCTGACATTTTATCTTTTCAAAATTCAAGGCAGACAGAGCTTGTTATGTGGTCTGTTAAAATTGTTAGAAAATCCTACCAAATTTTGGTCTAATCTAACCTGGGTTTGCAGGGAAGCTATGGTGGGAAGGCAGGGCTCGCTGCTGTTTTGCTGAGCATGTTGTGCCTTTGGGAAGGGAGCTTCAGTCAAATYCAGTGACTAAGAAGATGGCTGCAGCAGCTGGGTCGTTCCTCAAAACATGATGCAAGTGCTATGTACTAGAGATATCACTGACACACATGGAGGCTCAGACAAGAAGAGGAGAGGAGAGCTACCACAGGAATGTAGTCAGAGGCATTAACACTGGTTGATGGCTGACCTGGAGAGCTGGATGTGCACAGGAGGGATCTGGCAGAGCTGATGGTGGAGGAGGGCTGGCTTGTCCCCATGGATGAGGTAATATTTAGTTAGCCACTTACGTACTGTGTTGTTCATAACCAGCTCCTCTGAAAGGATCACAGCTCAGGGGCTCTTACAAAGTTAATGAAAAAAAAGGGAAAAGAGAAGTTTCATGCGTCACTCAAGTGTGGGCTGGAAGGAGACGTTTCCCTGCGTGAGATTTCATGGAGGTCCAAATAGTCTCTCTTGCTGGGCCAGATTGCAAAACACACAGAAACTGCTCCCAAACTATAATACAATGGGGAAAATCAAGTTGAGGTCAACAAAATCTTGATTCCTACCCTTACATTGTTTTAGTTTTGAGGCTCTATAAACTTTTAGAAGTAGTATCTTGAAACAGTTAACATCAGAATTTTTAATTTAATCCAAAAATTTCCTGTACAAAATGAACTATGTACATATTCCAGCCACTTTGCAGTAGCAGTCCTTTCCCTGTAAGAACAGAAACTTGCAGCCTGACCTTTTCTTGCCAGAAGCACATTCCAATGTGTTGGCTTTTCTTATTAAAAAAAAAAACAAAACCAGAAGAGCATTTCTCTGCTGAGTCCRAACCTGGAGGATCAGCTCCTAGCAGAAAAGATGTCATAAGAAATTGTCCAAGTGTGATTAAGTGTGTCTTAACAATGATAACTCTATTTTTACCTGAGAGACCTTTGCTTTTCTAGGGAGTCCAATCTGATGTGCTGCAGCACAGTTTAAGTGTTGTACTAGGCTGGGCTGTGCAGTGCATCCCTGTTCAGAGCTGTGTCCTGATGSAGTGTAGGAGGAAAAAGTTCTGAGATCACTGATCACTGGGAAATTTATCCAGTAATTTCCTTCCTACTGTTACAAAGCAAMCTTGTCTGAAATCCCTTCTACCTACCTGGCACTCTGCTGACAGCAAGCGGGACCATTAAAGGCTGCTCTGAAATTCCTGCTTACAGCCAGAAATAAAACTTGTTGATTCCTTCCCTCTCTGGTGCTGCAGAGGGACCAGCTACCTTGTTTGGTGTGAAGTGGAATGTTGCCATCTTGGAAAGGAAACTGCAGCTGGAAGTTGCTCTGAGCTGCTCTTTGGACGATGAAGGTGAAGACCAYAGTCGAGTGTGCAGCAGAGGAGAGTAGGGAAGGATGTGAGCATAGCCAAGGATGAGCTGTTGGACATCCAAGAGCAGAGCCCTTGGACTGCAAAACACAGGTACTGCCTTTCCAGAATGTACTCAAGGGGATGTGCTCCAGTCTTGAATTTGCAAGTGAGAAGAGAAACCCCATTGATTGCAGAGGAATGAAGGGCAGGAGAGGGACAAGTCACAGGAGGAGGATGGTGCAGCCTCAGTTTACCTGTTTGCTATCAGATGTCACCACCTCCTGCTCCAGCCTAATCCAGCTGAGCCCAGAACTGAAGCCGTGGGTCCTGTCAGGCCCAGAACTCAGCAGTTCATCAAGGGATGTCGTGGAAGACATTCCTGGCTGCAGTGGATTCTCCAGGAGGCTGTTACCTCCCTGGAAATTTGGTGCTGCCAGAGGGAAGGAGAGGAGGGGTGTTGGTCTGTGATTTGGGTGAAAATGACAGTGAGCAAATGACTATCGGGAAATGACAGAGGTTGTGGCTACCCTGTTCTGAAAGTGTCCAAGACCAGGTTGGATATGGCTTAGAGCAGYCTGGTCTAGTGGAAGATGTCTCTGCCCATGGCAAAGGGTGGGACAGAATTGGCTTTGGGATCCCTTYAACCACAAATCATTCTGTGATTCTGTGACCGCCAAAGGTTCTGGTGGCCTATGTGGAAGTATTGATGGCATTGTTATCCCTGGCAAAGCTTGGGAGAAGGAGGAGGAAATGCTCCATCAAGTGCTGYTCAAAAATCAGAGGAAAAATTAGACAAAAGTGAACCTCATCACCTCTAAAACACAGAGGGGGACAGTGCCAGAGATTTGATGTTAGTGGTATCAATTTTCTGCCTGGCACTCTGAGGGGGTAACTGCTCCCTTTGGAGTGGGAGGTGATTCTAGGGGCAGTGAAGGGGAGTCCAGAAGARCTGAGGTGTTCAGTAAGTCAGTCCCTTTATTTGGTGCAACAGCGCTCACATTTTCTGCTCTCTCCACCCAAAATCAAACTGAAATGGTCAAATGAAATTTGTACCTCCTTAGACAATGTTCACTGCAAGTGGTCCTAATTAACATTCCCTAAATGGCTGTGATTAGCTACCAGCTGATGGAATATTTACTCCAGGATTTTTTTCCTAAAAAAACAAACCATAACCCAACAGACACCAAACACTTTATTTATTTGTTTTACAAATTCCTGCCATTGGTCTGCTGAAGATGTGACTTRCAGAGCGGGAGCTGAAACTGGAGTGGCTCTCGTACTGAAAAAAAAMCAGATTAAAGCACAGGAAATGCAGCTTGTGCGAGCAGGCAGTGCTCCCAGAGCCATTTGCTGCACTGAGTTAACAATGTATGATAAATTAACAATTTTAAAATAACACAACTTCCCCATCACTTTGCGGGAACAGTTTTTCCATGGTGCTCCACCAGCTCCTCTCCACATCCCCTTTGCCAAACTACTCGGTTCTGGTTCGGTCATAAATTGCTCRATGTCACGCAGGGAAGCGGAGGTGACGGATGTCCCTCAGTGTTCCCAACCCTGGCAAATCCTTTATCGAGCTCCAGGAACCTCCACTCAYATTGCTAATCCGTGCCTGCCTCCCCTTGGACAGGCCTGGCCACTTCCTTTCCCAACAATCCTCCTCTCCTGCTTGTTTGCTTTTCGGAAAGCTGATTCAGCCTTGGAGCGAGTGGGTGCAACGCCTGCAGCGCTTTGGGTCCTGCCCTCACCACCTGCAATGAGCCGAACCAACTGTGATGGAATTGCTCCATTCCAGTCAGGACAAGCCCTATCTTTATTAATTTTTCAGATTGTTTTTTTTGAGTGTGGCAGTAGGTTGGCCTTGGAAAGGCAAGAATGGACTGTGTGTCATGGRGGCTCCTGTGGCGCCCAGGTTGTGTCTCACACACAACATCCATGTTGGATCAGCCCTGAACTTGGGCCTGGCCCATTCCAGYGGGTATTCCCAGGGAGCAGGGATGGAGTGAGGGTGATTGGGGSTGCTGAGGTACACGTCAGGGGAATGAGGGTGGTTTGGGGAGCAAGATTGCTCATGTGTATGTAAGATGGAAACTGGAGAGGAAGTGAAGAACTGGATGCTGCACCTGCACCCCCTCACTGGGACATCCGGGGGTAGGGGGTACGTCAGCTTCTTCTCCCCTGGGGGTGACATGCCCCCCAGCCCTGGTTGGATGTGACCCTTTCCCTGTGCCTGTCACTCCCCAGCACTCCCTGGCCACCCTAGGACCCTGACCCYTGCTGCCCCATCATCTGTGTGGTCACCTCTTGCCCCTCCTTGCTGTCCCCAGCCCTGACCTCGCTCCAAGGCTGCATCCAACCCCTCCTTGTGCCTGCTCTCTCAGCCCTCCATGCCCCCATCATCCATCTTGACATTGTGTTGCCCCCCCCCACCCTGTGTGACCCCCCTCCATAACTCCTGCCCCCCCAGATCTGCATTGACCCCCAGGCCCTTCTGACCCCACCTTGTGCGTACCATCCCCAGCCCCCCTGACCCCACAGGATTCTGACCCTCTGCTGCCACCCCAYGTGTGTGATTCTCCAATGTCCCCCAGACCTGTCCCCATCCCAGTGCTGGATCTGACCTGCCCTTGAGCCTGCTGCCCCCTTGAACCTCTGACCCCCACAGGCCTCCTGACCCCATGGTCCATCCTGACCTCCTGCTGCTTCCCCAGACCTGTGTGACACCCACTGTGCCCCCTTACCCTCAGAGCTGCCCAGGCGCCCTCGATGGCGTAGGCCTGTGACCCCCTGCTGCCCCCCTGCCCTGGGTGACCCCCATTCCTGCTGACCCTCAGGCCCCACTGACCCCACCTGCCGTCACCC